TATTGTACAACTTGTAATATTAGTCTTTAAAAAATCAATACAAAGTTGATTTGTAGTTGTTTAAAATAAAATATCAATTGTAAATCCCAATGGTTGGTTTTAACTCATGTATCGAAATTATAACAAAATCGTTTTCCAACTTTTGAAGCTTTTTTTACTTCCCGAGCGTAAGCGAAGGAAGTATTGTAATCAAGTTCATCGGTCGACTCTCTAGTTTTAGGTTTTCTCGATGTTTCATGACCCCCACAGTACAAAGAAATATATCTCCAGTTTCCGTCTGTCTGTCTCCCCGTCTATCTATCTCTCCGTCTGTCTGTCTGTCTGCCGTCCTGATTTTTATTAGACAGATAATCTCCGAAAGTACTGGGATGGTTGTTGTCAAATTTTGTATTTATATTAGGAATATCATTTAGATGGTATAAAAATCAAAATTATAAAACAATATTTTGCTATTTAATTTTGAATCTGCCAAACTTAATGACTTGAAATTTTGCGGATGTTTTAAATTTATGGTAAGCATATTATCCCCTCCAAAAAATTGATGACGTCATCTCAAAATTGCCGGATAAATCCTATCTAAAATGTGCAAAACATGATCAGTCTATACTTGTGATTTATGATAAACCGAATGCTTTGAAGTCCTGGAGATGTTTTAAAGTTATCATAAGCATTGTAAATTTTTGATCAAAATATATTTGCTCATCCCCCTAAAAAATTGATGACGTCACCTCAAAATATTGCTGAATACATCCGATCTTATATGTGCAAAATATGATGAGTCTGTAGTTGTGATTTATCACGGCATTAATATTTTTTAAATTTACTTATACAGGGTGTCTCAGAAAAATTAATGTACTGAGTTGTTAAAAAATAAATCTCCAATCAGATTTAAAAATGTAACTCGTTACTATGGAAATTTGCAATTTAAAACCTTTTAAATTTAGCAAGTTTTAACAAGGTTAATAGAGGCAAAATCAGTCTTATCTTAGCAAGTGCTAACCCCGCCCACCCGCCACTTGTTTTCTCAGAGTTACCAAAATACATTTTACCTTTGCAAGTATTATCCCCGCCCATCCACCCTCTATTTTCTCAGAGGGTATGCCACTTGCCAAAATCAGTCTTATCGCAGCAAGTACTGGCCCCGCCCACCCGCCCTTATTTTCTCAAGGGATATGTCATTTGGCAAAATAAGGTTTATCTTAGCAAGTACTACCCTCTGAGAAAACAAAGAGCGAGTAGGCGGAGCTAGTACTTGCAAACATAAGTCTTATTTTGGCAAATAACATATCCTCTGACAAAATAGAGGGTGGGTGGGCGGGGCTAGTACTTGGTAAGATAAGACTGATTTTGGCAGACATATCCTCTAAGAAAGTAAATGGGGGATGAGCGGGGCTAGTACTTGCTAAGATAAGACTTATTTCGGCAAATGATATATCCTCTGAGAAAATAGAGGGCGGATGGGCGGGCTTAGTACTTGTTAAGATAAAACTGATTTTGCCCGTATTAATCTTGAATGAAGCGTGAATTTATTTTATTGATTTAATCAGGAACTGAAAAACCGAAACTTTTGAAATCTTGTTTTCAAGTTATCATAAGCATGGTAAATTTTCGATCAAAATGTAGTACTTGCCAAGATTAGACTGATTTTGGCAGATGACATATCCTCTAAGAAAATAAGGGAGGGTGGACAGGGGGCTAGTAATTGCCAAGATAAGATGACTTATTCTTCTAAAGAAATAAAGGCTGGGTGGGTAGGATTAGTACTTGCTAAAAATAAAAAAACTTAAAAATCACAAAATGACAAATTCAAAAAATGAGAAATCAGAAAATTGTACAACTGTTTAATTAGAAAATCAAAAACTGAAATGTCGAAAAATTGAAAAAAAAAACAAATCTTATAAAATCGAATTCGAAATTCCAGTTGTAATTCTTTTTTCGTTTTTAGGTTTTTAATTTTTTTTAAGTTTTAACTTTACAATTTGGAATTTTTAGGTTTTAATTTTTCAAGTTCTCAAGTTAAAATTTTTCCTTTTCACGATTTGTCATTTTTCGATTTTGTAACTAAAAGAACAAATTTATTCGAACCGAAATTCTGAAAAATCGAAAAATCCAAAAATTGAAAGTTAGAAACAAAATTGTCAGATGTTTTAAAGTTACGATAACATGGCAATCGCTGATCAAAATTACTTTTTACTCCCTTCCAAAAACTCACTGACAAAAAATCAAAAATTGAAAATTTAAAAAAATAAACATCTATTTTCTCGCTATTTTTAAAAATCAAATAACCGAGAAATCGGAAAACCGCCAAAAATTGAAAGACAGATCAACAAATTGAAAATTTAAAAGCGAGAAATTGAAAAATTCGAAAGTTGAAAAATCGAAAAACTGAAAAATTTAGTAGTACTCGCTACGATAAGACAGATTTTGGCAAATGATCTACTCTCTAAGAAAACAAAGGGTGGGTGGGCGGGGCTAGTACTTGTTAAAATAAGACTGATGTTGGTAGACGACCCACTCTTCTAAAAAAATAAAGGGTGGGTAGGCAGGACTAGTACCTTTTCTTAGAAGAGTAGGTCGTTTGCCAAAGTGAGTCTAATTCTGCCAAATACTAGTCTGGTCCACCTGCCTTCTATTTTCTTAGAGGGTAGGTTATTTGGGAAGTACTAGCAAATTTCGATTCATTTTCGACGTCATGCCCCCCCCCCCCCCTAAAAAATTGATGACGTCACCTCAAAATATTGCTGACTATATCCCATCTTAAATGTGCAAAATACGATGAGTCTACTTGCGATTTAGCACTGCAATAATATTTTTTAAGCTTGCTTATACAGGGTGCCTCAGAAAAATTAATGACTGAGTTGTTAACCAATAAATATCCAATCAGTTTTACGAATTTAACTCTAATTTATGGAAATTTTCAATTTAACACCTTTTAAATTTAACAAGTTTTTACAAGTTTAATAGGGGCAAAATCAGTCTTATCTTAACAAGTGCTAGCCCCGCCCACCCGCCTCCTATTTTCTCAGAGTTTATATCATTTGCCAAAATCAGCCTTAACTTAGCAAGTATTAGCCCCGCCCACCCGCCCTCTATTTTCTCAGTGGGAATGGCGTTTGCCAAAATCATTCCTATCTCAGCAAGTACTTGCCCCGCCCACCCGGCCCTATTTTCTCAGAGGATATATCATTTGCCAAAATAAGACTTACCTTAGCAAGTACTACCCTCTGCTAGGGGCTAGTACTTGCTAACATAAGTTTTATTTTGGCAAATGACATATCCTCTGAGAAAAGAGAGGGCGGGTGGGTGGGGCCTGTATTTGGTAAGATAAGACTTATTTCGACAAATGTGTTATCCTCTAAGAAAAGAGAGGGTGGGTGGGCGGGGCTAGTACTTGTTAAGATAAAACTGATTTTGCCCCTATTAATCTTGTAAAAACTTGTGAAAATAAAGATGTTAAATTCCAAACTTCCATAGTAACGAGTTAAATTCCTAAATCTACCCGAAATGTACAAAATGTGATCATATTTTTTAGATTTGCTTATACAGGTGCGAGGGAAGTTCTGTCGCAACAGCTTTCAACCAATTTTTTTTTTTTCTATATATTTGTTGCCAACAATTGATGGCGGCCCGACAGATAATAATTGTTCAATACTTCTACATAGAAGATATAATAGAGTGATGAAGACACTAAGAACACCTAAATTCAACTCATCACAGAATACAATATATATTAATTTGAATATATTGTTACACACAAAGAAAGTTCAATGACTTCTAGAGTTTTCGTATTTTTACAGTGAAATTGGATGGTTCTTTGAAGTGTCACCTGTTCTTTTATGGGTTTAAAATTTTTGTTGAGAATGTAACCAAACATGTTCCCGGCAGATGAAGTTACCTTCATGTTGTATGTTTTATGACATTCGTTTGTGCGTTAGACAATAAAGTCGCCTTCTGTATTGTCTCTTATTCCCCTCAGATATGAGTAAACTTTAATTACCGTAAATTATTTGTCAAAATTTCAGTTTTGTCCCAGTAATAACTTAAGGACGGCACAAATTATCTCGGTTTTCTTGACAACTTATCGATTGGAACATGCTGCGTAAGTTTGTTCCAATTCAACCCATCTCGTGTTTTGTACGTTTTTTGCGACCACAACAGTAGGAAACGTTAAATTATCACCTCGTATATCTATCCTCTTCACTTTCTGTTTCCACAACGTATATTTTTTTAATGTTCTCGGAACAGATTTGATTTATAATTTCCGTCACACTTGTGGTAGAACAAAGCGTGCAGAGATCTAAATTTTTTAGTATGTAGAACTAACGCTGTGCGCTGACGGTACCAATTTCCGGCCCTCCCCATTAAGATTCCGTCCATCGCCGCCCATCCTAACGGACCAACTCGCACAGGAACCATAGGTCAGTACCAGTCCGGCACGAAAATTCCTGGCACCGTGTGTGTCTTCGTTCACCTTGAAAAACGGTTTCCATATTACGCAAGTTTGGTATGAGGAAACGAAACGGGGACGTAGACGCCAGGCGCCGAACGCCGCCGTCTCACTCATTCGTCCGTTAGACTTTGGCGGTGGCGTTTCGCAGCCTTTCCGCAGCGCTTTTTTTCAAACTCCATTGACGTTGTTCGAGTCTATCGATGTGTCCGTGAAGAGACGTCTGTGTTGTGTATGTGGCGGCGCTCATGCACCGTTGACCCCTTTCAGGGGCGCAGCTCCGGGCCTGAGGGGGTGGCGCGGCTGCGGCGGGGCCGCCCGACTATCAATGATGGGCTACATCATGGGCTGTACCTGCTTTAAAGGTAAACTCGACCATATAGTACTAGCGCGAATATTTATGTCACAATGCAGGTGCGGAGGAAATCGTTATCGTTACTGCCGCCGTACGTGGTTTGAGTGGACGATGAGGCTATTTTTCTGTCAGTTTTTTTTACTATCTTAAGTGGTAGCGCGTTACGATAATGTTTAAATGTTTTTTTCTGTACATCAGGTATCGCCGACGCTATCGTGGACTATATCGTGAGGTATACTTGCTTTAAAGGTATGATTTTTGAACGTTGGAATTGTACCCTTTGCGTGCACTACCCTCACTAACCCAGCGTCGGTTGTGGTTTTGTATATAGTGACTAATTTTACTTTCCCCGGTGGATATCTTGAGTGTGTGTTTTACCCGGCGCATCCACCATTTGTGCCCCTACGACGACGATATTTGAAATATCTTTTCACCCAAGCTGATGGTTTTTCTAAAACAAAACCATTTATATACTTATAATACCTACACCTAAAGTTGTAAATATTGGTGTCCCAACGCTTCTCCATTTCTGAATGCATCATTATAGTTTTGGATTGTTAAAAATTTGTGTACCATAAACCTTTTAAAATACATTATAGGTATAAGTGTGCCCACTTTTCTCAATTTTATTCCGTACGCTTTTATATCTAATTTATTTTTAAAAGGTTTCATGACAACTTCAGTTTAACCTTTGTATGTAATTATTTGTGTTTCCGGTATTGATTTTACAATGTCTGTCTCAATACTCAATAAACTAGTCGATGTGTTTATAACATTGTCTGGTGCGTGGAAGCTGAAGGTAGTGCGGCTTCCATTTTATCCAAAAACGATACCAGAAACTATTTTTTTTTGTATTTTACGACTCGTGGCAGCCGTTCTTGTTGAACTAATCGACATATTCATTCAAAAGAGTTCACAGTTTAACATTTGTTGTAATATGAAAATAAAAATACCGTGCTAAAGTCATTTTTAAATCAATTCAACATTTCTAGATCGTTTTTACAATTGAACTCTATCATTTGAAATGTTATTCAAATTTCCATCAACATTTGTTCTGGAAATCCAGCTGGATTTTCATTTTATTTGCACTAATTTTGTCATTTTTTTTTATGTTATTCAAATGGAACACCTGTTACACTTGTGTGTGACCAGCAATTTTATTATTATTATTATTAAATCTGACGACTAGTTATTATTCAACAATCATGCAGTGACGACTACCGTTTTTAATAACTTCAACCATTCAAATTCAGGTTTCCTTATTCGAATTTTAACCGCACGTGCTGACCCGACTCTTACAACTCCTGTTCGCATAATGCTTCTGTTTTACGATCAGTCTCCAGCAGTGGCACCAACACTATCGATCTTTCCCGCTACGAAAAAGAAACTTTTTTCCTTTCCTAATTCGGTCTAAGCGTTCTTGCAAGAAGTGTTAAATGTCCAGATAAGCGCAAAAGGACGAGAGAGCTTTTATTTCTTTGATGGCCAAAGCTAATGACTCGGTAATCCCGAAAACGAACCTAATTCCAACTTTGACATTTGCTGGAGCAGGACGCGCGTCATTGAATTTTTCCGAAAAAAAAAGTAACGCATATCTTGTTACTAATTTAGGAACCCTTTTTTTTCGTTATTTACATTTGCGTATTTGCGGTAGAAAATTTCGCATGTTCTGAATTTAATTTACCGTAGGTCACGCAATTTATTTAATTATGTTCGGAAGGAAACGCTTACGGTATTGGGTTCAGGAACGATAGGTTTTGTTTCGAACCATCGAAAATGTGTCAGTAACGTTATATTATTTTATCTAACGACTGTATTGTTTAGAAGGAAAATTGTAATAATCTTGATTTGGTGCTTGTTTGGTTTGAAAAAACATTACAACTTATTTGCTCAGATTTGTGTGTACTTTATACCTATTCTGTTAATATAAATAGAACCTAATTACGTATTATCAAACTAAGGATAAACACGTGATAGTGTTAATAATGTAATTTATGGTCTATTGTACTTGCTGTACATAAATACTGACGCATTTAAATATTGATTTAATTTTCATGCACCAAACAAGATTCTAATTATGTTTTGGTTCTTATTTCTAAAAATCAAATCTTTTAATTTACCAATACCAATTTTTTCTTTTTGCTAAAATGTCCCGTTAATGCATTTAGGACATAACGTCCGCCAAAATTTTAATAATTGTAAATGTAATTGTTATTTATCTAAAAAATCTTAAAAACTGTTGTGTTTTGCATAAATCACCGCTTTGCATAAATCAGTATTAAATTCTTGTTGCGCCATCTTTACCCGTAACTGGATTGGCTTTGAGTTTAATCGATTAAATGGATTAAATGCAATTAATTAATTATAGGGAGTGACACGAGAATCATAGAATTAAATACCTATTTTAAAACAAAAAACAGAACACAGAGATAATATTTTAATTAATTTGCAATACAATAATAGTTAAGCCTAAACTTGCGTGTGCTACAAGCTTTACAATATGTAAGGTATTTTTTTATTTCTTTGTACAAATAAGTATTGGATTATTTTTAATCCGCGATAACACGAAGTCTTAACTTTAGCCATGTTTTTTCACTGCACAATAACACAAATACCGGGTGACTATTAATGATGTAAGCAAATTTTAGCGTTGATAATTCCGAGTTAATGGCACAGTTGTCAGATAAGTATATACTCTAAATTTTTAAATCTACTCAATTTCATTTCAATTATTAGTAATAAGTATAACGAATGTTACATTATTCTAAATTAAATGGTTATAATTAAAGGTAATCACGTATGACTGCAGAAACATAATTGAAATTGTTAATTCAGCTTTCAAACATTTAACATCTAAATACATTGGGATGTGTAGAGAAATTGTAGAGAAATACAGATATTTGTGTGTTGAAAAGCTCACGTTCTCCCCTGTTTTGTTGACGACGCAGTCATCAAAGACTATTTATTATGCGAATTATTTCGTTTTGTGTTTACCAAGTGTCAAAGAAATTCGTTGGAGACTTCAAATTGTTGTCATTATACAAAGATATGCGCTCAAAGAGAAGCACAGAAATAATATACACCGTGAAATCAATACTAAACACCAGCACTAAAAACTCACGTTTGGAATTAAAATGGCGAGCAATACATTTTTTTAGTTCCACCACTGCTCTTTTAGATACTGTAATGGGTATTGACGAAGCAAAAAACTAGCCATTTTCTTGGACAAGTTGGAACACGACGAGTAGAGAATCAAGGTGACAAGGCGGTTATCAATTCTGGCATGTAGCCCTGCGGTAGCGAAACGAATCATGGAAAACTTTGCACATTTCACCCCATGTTCAGCCTTTGACATTAATACCGAAAATTGAAACTAATGCTAGTAACGCGAGTCGCCCTGAGGGCACTTGGCATAAATCTGCTGGTATAAGGGGAGCACGAGGTATACATACGAATGTAATACATAGTCGTTACCTTCTTCGCTCTTTCCCAGGTCGATATTTAAGTTTGCTAGAGATGGATTCACTGCTGCTATTTTCGTATCCAATGCTTGGTACGACTTGTACTGGAGTCGCATGGTTAAATTCTAGAAATGCGGACGATTTAACACGTATCCTTTCCGAGTAAAGAGAACGGAAAACGATGGCTGCGAGTCGCTTTTGTTTCGAATTAGGTCTGGATTGACTTGATGATCCGGTAATTTCGAACGAGGCAGGTAATATTGGTCGTTATGAACGTCTGTGAGGAGAATCGAGGGCATAAATCTCGGGAAGGAGCATTCTCTTACGTTCGATCGACTAAAAGAGCTTTGACTTGAGCAGTGTTGGATATTTTGCATAATTAAAGCTGCAATGCATACAAGTACTTCACTCTTTATAAAAGTGCTCGTTTTTTGCTGTTTCTGTATAACTTTCGAAATTCTAAAAAGTTCTTATCCACAGTTGTTTTACTTCGACCCATTTTTATTTTTTCTTGAAAAGTTACAAATAAATTACTTTTTGTCTTCTAATTACAACAGAAAATAGTTAATTAAAAGAATACTACAAGACTTGACACTTTTGGATTGTCACCGAAGTAAGCGAACACGTTCTTTCATTTCAAACCACTTTTATTCTTTGTCACACGTTTCAGAGATTTAAATAATGGAAGAAGGTTTGGTTTTTGTTTTTTAGTAATATCGAGGAAAAATGGTATATGCGTGTCAGGAGAGAACGCTATTTCATCATACAACTTTAGTATAATATAGTGTCATCATAAAATATTGTAGTCAAGGAAGGCCATGACGATAACACTCATATTCATCAGATTCTGTCAGATGTCAATAATTTTTTCGTTTTTACTGATTACTGGTGCGTTTTCCCACATTTTGTGCGTTAATTGACTTGTGTTGTTTTCATTTGCTGTCTTTCCCTTTGTTCGAACTTTCAGTGTCTCAAAAAACAGTGCTTTAAATAATTTTGTTAGGTTAGGATAGGTCATTCTTTGGAGCAAAACACGTTCATCATCATGTCCTATTAACTTGATGGGGTGTTAAATGAGGATGGGGACTGGGTGTACTCTGTGAATGCGTGTAAAGAAATCGTTGTCAAAACTCTGTTTACAGTCCGGAGTACCATACAGCACGTGCTAGAAAATTGTAAAAGAGAAGTTACCATATAAGATTTCGTTGGTCCAGGAGGTTTCAAGCTAATATTGACGAGAACAGGATTCTCGATTTGTCGTTCTTTTCTGATGAAGTCTGGTTTCATCTGTCAGGCTACGTCAACTCACAGAACTTCAAAATTTGGAGTACAGAAAATCACCACGCTTTTGAAGAAACACCATTACAGGCAGTGAAGATTGGTGTGTGGTTAGTTGTTTCCAGACGACGATTCCCACTTGATTTTGCAATATTTGGATGGATGAAGGACAGCGTTTATAAGAATAGAGTCCACACATCGGAAGATTTAATGGATAAAATTTGCCGACATATTAAATTTGGACATATTTTGATAACGGCGCTAGGTATCCTTTATTGACGTTTTACCAATTTGACTATATAGAGGAAATTGTTGGTTGATGATGTTCTGTGTTGGTTTGTTGGTGAAGTTTTTCGCTGATTATTATTGATTGATGAAAATAACTTCAGTTAGTCGGTTACACATCTTCTTACACCTCTCTCTTACACACTGTTGATCGCGTTACACATCCTTACGACAAAAAATTGTGGTGAAATAAAAATGAAAATTTACTCAAAAAGTTTAACAGTG